CAACCTTGGAGAGAAGAAGCAGACCCAACTATTTGGCCCATGTGGAACATACAGCTCCAACTATGACGCAGAGAGAGCTGCCATAGTAAAGACCCTGGAACAGATCACCCAAGACTTTTTTGAAGGCGCAGTAACACCAGGGGATGTCGTTGGCTTCTCTGACTCAATGTCAGTACTCCAAGCCGTCGAGGGAGGAAGAGACTACAGAGGTGACGGGAACATTCTCAGCCTTGTAAAACAGATGGGCACTCCCTATGGCGTCCAGGTCACACTGCAGTGGGTGCCTGGCCATTCTGGAGTACCAGGGAATGAGACTGCAGACCAGCTATCAAAGACTGGAGCAAGCCTGCCCCAGACAGACAGCCGCCTCTTTATAAACCCGCAGGGGGATCATCCAAGCTAAAAGCAGAGATGAGTGGCTAAACAGATGGGCCAACGCAGAAACAGGAAGATCTCTCTTTGGGTACATGGACAAACCCAACCCCAAAGACCCTTTGAATCGTTTATGTAGAGCCAATCAGACATTGACCACGAGGAAACTGTTGAACATCTTCTCCTTCACTGCCCAAACCTGGCAGTTCTTCGATGCAGGCTCCTAAACGCACCTACAGACTTGCAAAGCCTGCTCTACTCTGGCGTTAACCAGATGACAAGGACATGTAATTACTTGAGGGAGGCATTGAGCTGCCAAGAGCGAAATGCTCGCAGCTAAAGGGGTTTGAAAACAAAAACATCCTTCTTGTTTTTTCTTTCAATCTCTCGTTGTCTGTCTCGTGTGCTCTTTCTCTCTGTATCTCCACCCCATCCTTGTCTTCCTTACTTTCCAAAAGAAAATACCCCCCCCCCCCTTTCAACAATAAGAATGCAGATTTAAGACACAAAAAGTGATTGAATGCAATTGAATGCAGGATTGTATCTCTCAATTTAAGAAGATTAAAATTTCAGGATCAGAGTTAGGAGGCTACAAGTTCCTTGAAATCTGCAGAAGTTTCAATAACTAACTAACTAACGAACGAACTAACGAACGAACTAACTAACTAACTAACTAACTAACTAACTAACTAACTAACTAACTAACTAACTAACTAACTAACTAACTAACTAACTACAGATGTAACTAACGAACAAACGAACGAACGAACGAACAAGACATCGACTTGACATTGTGCAGGGATCGGAGAGGGGACGGGGTTATCTTACACCAGTATCTTGCTATTCCAGCTGCCCGAGTTGTCCCCAGGGACCTTACTGTAAAACCTTCTTGGTTGGCCCTGACAGCAGGGCTGAAGTGTGTCTCATCATGTACGTTGTGTCGATGGAAGCGAACAAAATACTGACTCTAGAATAATTTTTTTCCCCTTTAAATTCCCTGAGTATTCCCCGAGCATTCCCAGAGTCTGGAATGCCATTCATTTTTTAGCCACTAAAAGAACCCTGTTATTGGTCAATTATACACAATATTATTATGACTAACCCTTTTTAAAATGTCCCTTTTCCCCATTTCTCAACAGGGCTACGG